TTTCACACATTTTGTTAAATAATATAAATAGGTTAGTGAATACAAAATATAAAGGTAAATAAAATTGAGAGATTAGGATTTTAATAAACTTCTAAGAGGGATATTTCGTCTTTCTAATAGGTTAGTATAACTATTTTAAGCGATATTTTAATTATTTAATTTTTAAATTAAAATTTAAAATTTGTTCTTTTCGACCCAAATTAGCCGAATAGCTACAATACATTTTGTTTTGACTGTTTATATGCCAAATATGAATTGTTTATGTTTATACACCTACTGGCTACTCGCTACTACATACCCAAATAATATTTAGATTTTAGATATATGACCAGCGTCAACGGCAATCGTTATAAACTTATTTATTGGCATTATAGGCAATAAATAATAATAGGTATATACATAATAAATAAAATTGATTAGGATGTATAATAGGTAGTTATAATTTAAGATTTAAGTATAAATAAAATTAAAATACTAAGTTTAATCAATGGTATTGGTATACAACATAAAATCATAAAATGACCTACCGTTGCTTTAGGACCCTTCACAGTTCACTGTTTCACAYTGCACATCATACTCATACTATTAAATCATAATATAGTACCTATATAGATCGATGTATAAATCTTATTTCACGACATGTTCTAGGTTAGGCTGAATATTTGAATGTTTTCAAACTTTAAACTTTATACGTCAAATGTCAATATCTTAGTTAACCTCACGATTTGTCAAGAAAAAAACAGAATTTTTACCTAATTAATTTTAAAAACCACACCGACGCAGTTGTGGTATTTGTATGGTATAATGTGTGGTATAGACGTATCGCGTATGGTAAATATGCAGGTGAATGGTAGTGAACCAGATACCATATACTCATCATCATTGAGATAAATAACCAATAAAGTCGGATTCACAGCTACGTCGTGTCGTGTCGCGCGAAGGCGTGGTAACTATGGTTACAATTGGTAACCAATATGGTTTAAAAGTTGAGCCGTATTCAATTCTTCGTATCTTCGGTTTTAACTTGGTTATGCCATACCAAAAGTTATTAGCGTCCAATCAGAATATTGTGGTTTGATTGATACGACCTAGCTGTGAATCTATAGATCGGCAATGACCGRATTTTTCTCACTGATGAATTTTAAGTGTTTCATACATTATCCCGTACCTTTTTTCCAGCAAAGAAGAAGATAGGTAAACATTATTGTTTCTTGTGCCTATGCTAATTCTATGTAAGTACAAGTTATATCTTGTAAAATATACGATACAAGGTGTTTATACTTTATTTTATAAATCATATTTAAAAACGTACCTACCTATAACCTTCCCACTATATCTTTATAATATCTTGGCTAAATTTTTGATTTTATAATTTTATCATACACATTTTACGCGTTTTTAATAATACTTTGTTCCTACCTGATCAGAAATCGATTTTTTAAAGAGTAGTAAAAATTATTTTATTTTTTTTTATTATATATTAAATTTATTTTATATTAATTATCAGGCTATATAAAAAAAAAAATGAGTTAAAGTGACTAAAAATTACCATACTCATCGAGCCCATATACTGAAATAAACAAACATAAACAAGGTCCTTGGTATTTAATCGTAATAGGTAGTTTATATTACCTTATTGCCCTTACTTGAAAAATCCTTTTTTTGAGTTGTCGATTATCTATTGTCTTTTTATAATTCTACAATAGTCGAATTATAAGTGAGAAGTAAGCAAAGAGAGTATGCAAGAGAAATCAAMTTATTCATAATCGTTTATTGCTAAGTGATCTAAAACTGGTCTCAATTACGATCTTACCTAATTGAATGTAATAYGAATTTTTGTATTTACACGAGAGCGTGAAGATGTTTTGAGTTTATGCGTGTATGTCTTATATATTGTCCACGAACCATGATATTATAACTCGGCATTTGAATATTCAATATTTTAATAATA